ACGATCTGTTTGTCGGGTAAAGACAATCAAAACAATGTCTACCTCTTGAGCACACATCTGGCAGAAGACAAAGAGTTAGAGTTTATCAGAAAATTAAGTGATTTTTTATTAACAATATTATTGCCAAAGAACTACTCAAACACTAAACCATTGAGACATTTGTTAAGAGAGATAATATCGGTTCAGGTGTTGAACGCCATTAACCTTATCTGTGATCCCATATATTTGAACAAAAAACTCTTGGATTATCTAAAGTACCATAAAATGGAGTCAGAAAAACACAGACAAACGTATGCATACGCCGACACATACGAGGACTTTATTAATGTGATTAACCATTGCTGTGATGTCGAGGATCTGAAGAGAATACGGTTTCAGGTGATCACCGAAATAATGGAGGCGACGGTTATCAACAATCTTAAGAAAGAGCGCGGAATAGACTTGAATGAGAAGATGTTCTCCGGACCCATCACTTCGGCCAAAGGGGATCAGCTTCAGGCCAGAAATCTCAAGAGATATATCAATCAATTGACGTTCGCTAAGAATCAGTGCGAGAAACGCATTAATGCCATCAATGGTATGAGCGGTCGTCACGTGTTTGGGGCCAACAATCCGTCCCAATCGACGGATCCATTACCGCAACCGAACCGTAAAACGGTTCTCGGTTTCAAAGTCATCATGAATTCAGATATTTGTCGCTCATATATGAAAAAGTTTATGCAATACTCGCTTATAAGCAGTTCCAGTACTCCTGAAAGTAGAAGACATTTGATAGTGTTCTGGGAATCAGTGGAGCAGTTGTCTAAACAGGAAATGACCAGACAATACGAAATCGCAAATGAGATTTTAAACAACACTAATTTTAGGGCAAATTTTATTAAATTAATTAATTTGTCGAAAAACACATTGAAATCGATGGAAGAGTTTGTGTTAGGAAATAGAGGACCGGAAGCCTATTTCATATCGCAAACACTTATTTATGAAATCTTAGAGCACAGGTATTACCCGCTATTCATTGTTAGTAAAGAATACGACCAAATGTTGGATCAAATTCAAGACACATTGGAAAGCAGTCCCAATCTTATGTCCACGAAGAATGATAACGAGATTGATTTAAGTGAATCAGACTCCGAAGACTTTTCCGAAGAGAATTTAGTGAATATAAGCGACTCTATTGTGGAGATTCATGTCTCGCAAACAAAGCTTAAATTAGAAAATTTAACACAAAAACTAAACGATAAACGAAACGCTTTGAAGGCGTTGAAGAAATCTGAGAGCGAAAAGCTGACCAAAAGCTCTTTAAATGTAAACCAAAAACTAATCCAAATGTTGGAGAAAGAAGTGGACGATATTGTGAGAGATTGCAGTCAATTGGAGTCACACCTGGAGTGCACAGAGTTGTGGCTCTCGGGCACCGGTAAATGGAGGGCAGAGGTGCACAACATTGAGTTGGATAATATCGACGGCTATTATCTGGCGATTATCATAGTCTATAGGAGTGATTTGACTGAGTTATCGTCCAATGGTTGGATCGTTGCCCGCAATTTCCAACAGTTTTCTCAATTAAAGCGAAGATTGTGTCCCACTTTTGGAGCTCTAAAACGCTTCGAATTGCCAAAAATGAATAAGAAGTCTATCGTTAAGGACTCCCAACTGAAGACAATTCAACACAAATTGCAAACATTTCTCAATTTCACGACAACTCACGAGAAAATATACCGAAGCGAAGAGCTGTTCCTATTTCTATCTCAAAGCGCCGATAGTTTACGACAACCCGTGAATAGGGAATGGAATTCATCGGCTCTTAACTCAAGGATCTTTCCGTTGGCCAAACTCTTTGGCATAACTAAAACACACGTCAGGAACTCATCGACCGATTCCAACACTGAAGAGACCGAACACTTGGAGAATCAGTTTCTTATATTAAATGATTTAGAAAACGAGGACAACATTAAAGACGATATCGCGGAACCGCTTTACGATCTCATATCAGAAATTTTTGAATTGAGAACAGTCTCCAAATGGTTGCGAAGAAGTCTCATGACATTCGTTCAAATGACTTTCGGACAGACAATCAATAAACAGTTGCGCTCAACAGTGGAATGGGTTGTGTCCGAGTCTATGATCCACTATTACTTGACCACATTTCGGGACTCCCTTTGGCCGAACGGCCAGTTATCCGAGCCCTGGCCTCACAGCTCAGCTGAGGAGAGACAGAGAATCCAAGTGCTCGCTAAACAACACCTAATGAATAGTATTCCCGAAGTTTTCAATAACCTTTTGGGTCAACAGACCGTTAAGAAAGGAATCGCCAAAGTTTTCGATGGACTCCAAAACCAAATGCTAAACAAACAACTATTTTATGTAAGAAAATATGAATTAAATGTCTTTTCATTTACATTGTTTTTCTATACAATTACAGGAATTAATCGAAACATTTATGTTTGAATTCGCGCCCGAATTGAAGAGCATATGAAATAAAATAAAATAATATTTTTTTAATCTAAAACATAATCCAAAACTTTTATTTTAACCTCAAGTTATAATTACTAGAAAATTAATAATTAAATATTCAGTAATTAATGGAATAATTATATAATTGAGAGTCAATTTAGTTCTCGTAAACCCAGGACTCCTGATTGGGGGACCACTCGACCAGATCTTTGGAGTCAAACCAAAGGGCGATCTCTTTGTTAGCGCTGTCCACTGAATCGCTTCCATGGATTATATTTCTGTTTATTAGAGACAAACATATTTATGATTAGAGTTAATCACTTAATCTCACGATATGTCAAACATCTGGGTTGGCAATATAATAGTTGAACATTAATCAACATTGTGTGATTTAAAATCATTAATTTAATGATACTAATGATTACTATATGTTATAAATAACGTAAATATTAAATGAATGGCAATTTAGGAAACATTTAAATAATATTAAAAATCATTAAAAAGGTATTGAATATCAAAAACTAGAAAAAGTGAATGAAATGGGAATTTGAGATCTCATTAAATATTTTCTATAATCAGTGAAATGATAAGAAGTATGGCTTCAATACCGTAGATATGACACCAATTGAGATAATTATTACTAAACTAGTATAGCATTGAAATAAGAGATAACGAGTTGTGGCATACCTTCCAGTCTGGATACAGAAGTCTCCTCTAATGGTTCCGGGCTTAGAGTCGGCCGGATTGGTCTCTCCGAGCATAACGCGTCCGGTCTTCACCACATTCAGTCCCTCCCAAACCATAGGCACGACTGGACCCAATTGCATGTATTGGATCAATGAGGGGAAGAATGGACGCGCAGACAGATCCGCGTAATGCTTCCGCAACAGCTCTTCGTCCGCCTATCAAACACATCAAATAAACCATTCATTAAACATATTTTTCACAATTAAATCACAATCCAAAAGACATTGCATTTTCAGACAATCAATTGATTCATACAATTTTGATCTCTTTATAAAATCAATGTATAAATGAATGGAAAGTGTGATCACAATGTCTTTGCGGAGTGAGTGATGTGGAAGTGTTTGAGACAATGGGAGTGAGCCTTACGTTCAAGAACTTGATGGCCACGAGTTTGAAGCCCTTCTGCTCGAAGCGTTTGATGACATCGCCGACGATACCCCTCTGGACACCATCGGGTTTGATCATGATGAAACTTCGCTCTTTGTTCGCTGCCATCGTTGAGTAGATCCAAGAGATGAGTGACAAAAGCGTACAAATCATACAATTATTACACCAAACGTCTCAATACAGAGGTATAGTTAACGCAATGCCAATGCTTTCAATGTCTCGCCAAATACTACCGCTACCGGTCTCTCACAACTAATGATCAACACTAACCCTAAGCTCGAGACCTATGCCTGCGATACTAATGCGCGAACTCAAGCGGCGATTAGTGAGCGTCCGCTCGAGCCTATGGCTTATCACTAGTTTTGCATTTAAAGTTTTGTGCGACTATTCATTTTTATAGACTCTTTCAATGGCTATTCCATTGATTTTGTCTACAAGTTATTTGTTAAATAATGTGTTAGTCAAATACATTTGGGACTTTTTAATATATAGTTTTGGGTAAATATAGTGTTAAACACGATATTATAAAATGGACTAAAATTACGGCAATATTATTGAGTTATAGTCACCACATGTTTGGCAAATGTTTTCATGTGTTTTTTGAATTCACTTTTGAATCAATTGTTTTTGTATTGACTTTTAATTGTGATTACAATTGAAATAATGTCTAAATTAAAGACAAAAAGAGATGAGTGACAAAAGCGTACAAATCATACAATTATTACACCAAACGTCTCAATACAGAGGTATAGTTAACGCAATGCCAATGCTTTCAATGTCTCGCCAAATACTACCGCTACCGGTCTCTCACGCCTAATGATCAGCACTAACCCTAAGCTCGAGACCTATGCCTGCGATACTAATGCGCGAACTCAAGCGGCGATTAGTGAGCGTCCGCTCGAGCCTATGGCTTATCACTAGTTTTGCATTTAAAGTTTTGTGCGACTATTAATTTTTGTAGACTCTTTCAATGGCTTTTCCATTGATTTTGTCTACAAGTTATTTGTTAAATAATGTGTTCGTCAAATACTTTTGGGACTTTTTAATATAGAGTTTTGGGTAAATATAGTGTTAAACACGATATTATAAAATGGACTAAAACTACGGCAATGTTATCGAGTTATAGTCACCACATGTTTGGCAAATGTTTTCATGTGTTTTTTGAATTCACTTTTGAATCAATTGTTTTTGTATTGACTTTTAATTGTGATTACAATTGAAATAATGTCTAAATTAAAGGCAAACGAAGACATTGTGTCGAAGAAGAGTCGCCGCAAACGTGGGATCAGCGATGAGATGACAGAACAGGCGTTGGAGTCCATAGTCTTCGGCAAAGATTCGGATATTTTGGATAAAATCAGCAAAAAATGCAAAAACACTGAATTGAGTGAAAAGATTGGCTTTTTTGAAGACAGAGCTCCGGAGGAAGTGAATCGAGTGGTGATCGACAGCGACAGTGAAGAGTCGGACGAATCAGACAATGATATTTCATACACGAAAAGTGATTTCTTGAGCCGTCGGACGACTGATGAGGAAGTGTTGAGTAATGAGACGACGACTGAGAAGAAGAGCGTTTGGATTGATTCCGACGATTACATCCAAGTGTCGGACGCTATGAAAGAGTGCAGAAAATTACCCAAAAGAGTGACGAATGACGACAAATACAAAGACTATTTGGAGAACAAATTCAATGATTTGTATAAAAAGCCGAAATGGGCTCAAATGGACGACAAGGATGACAGTCAGGACTCGAGCGGCAGTGATAGCGATGAAGACGTGAATCGGACGGCACAGGCCTTCAAAGCCAGGACTCGACGTATCGATAGAGGAGTTCTGGCCATTAAAAAGTGCACTCATTTGACAAATGATCACAAAATGAAGGTTTGGTTTAATCATAGAATTGAATACAATATTGATGTGAATATTAATTTGAATCAATTGCTTGCAGTCATCACTAAATTGTGTTGAATTTCATCCGACCTCAACGGTAGGGATGGTGTCTTCGCCTAACGGTTCCGTTCATCTATTTCAAGTCGATGGCAAAATCAACGCCAGAATACAAAGCATTCAATTCAAAGACTTTAAGATAGAAACCGCAAAATTCAACAAAAGCGGTGAAGAGTTGATTGTGGGCTCCAAACGAGAGTCCGGTTTCTATTTCTATTACGATATGATTTCGGGAAAAATAGTGAAAATTCCTTTCGTTAGAGGGAATCAAAAGTATTCATTAGAGAAGTTTGTTCTCTCCAATGATCACAAACTCATTGCTTCCAAAGGAAACAACGGTTTCGTGAATATATTGACCGCAAAAACCAAAGAACACATCTTTGACCTGAAGATGAACGGAGAGGTGATGTCATTGGCCTTCAGCGACGACTCGAACGTACTGTTGAGTCACGGAAATGGAGGCAAAGTATATGTTTGGGACGTTAGGAACAGACAGTGTATGAATAGGTTTGTGGACGAGGGATGTGTGTCGGGCACAGCCATCGCACTGTCACACGACTCCAAGTTCTGTTGCACGGGATCTGATATGGGAGTCGTCAATGTCTACAACTATAACGATGTCTTAACACAATCAGAACCGAAACCATTAAAAACTATTATGAATTTAACGACAGAAATATCACAATTGAAATTCAATCACAGCTCAGAGTTGTTGTTAATGTCATCGAAAGATAAGGATAACAGCATTAAATGCGTTCATATGAAGACTTTGACTGTTTATCCAAACTTTCCGTTTGCGGCCAAAAATTATGGTCGAATTAATGATTCAGATATATCTCTGAACAGCGGTTATATGACATTAGCCACGAATGGCGGAACCGCTCATCTCTTTAGGTTAACAGATTTCGGAGACTATTAAGCATTTTGTGGTTAGTTTTGTAATCAAAAATATATTTTTAACAAGTGGGGGAAATCGACACGCCCAGTAATCTTATAATGACACCATGATTCAAATATAATTTATCAAGGTTATATTTAACCATTTGACCAAATTTGAGCGCAAATTTGAATTTATAATTTTTTCTATGGGAGAGTATATGGGGGAGGGTTTTCTGTTTTGGCCATTATCTCGGAAGTTACATCATAGGATTTTTTCTTACTATTACATTCCTATTCTACTTTTTTGTGCTCTACATGATAGGCATAATCATTTTTTGGAAGCTAAAAAAAGTGATGGCAGACGAAACGAATTGTATAGATTACTGGGAATTACTGGGAATTAAAAATTTCTAATTGATATCTCATGTTATGGATAATTATGTATAATTTAAATAAAATGATTTAATTACCAGAATTGGAGCATTTTCTTGCATTATTAACATTTAATAAATTTAATAATAATAGTCTTCTGAATACCATTTAAGCAGAAAATTTGAATAAAAACTTAACACTAATTTGTTTATCAAATTTACTGATTATACAAATCGTGAAATTTATGTTTTGTCTCATATTTGGTTCAAACGTTTGGCAAAACATTAAAATAAGTAAAGGAAAGGTTGAATGAATTTTAAAATTATTTTTTTGTAGTAAATATTATTTAAAATTTGATTTGGGATTTAAGATACTGTATCAATTTGTTAAACACTTTTTGTAGATTCTGAAACAATCTCATTAAAATTGGCAAACGTCCAAACTATCAGTACTTTCTTCAGACACTAGCTGTCCCTTTAATTTACTTCAAATAATAAGTCATTTAATAAATATTTGTTACTTATTTTGCACTTATCTTGTTTTGAGTTCTGTTTTATATCAAAATTTATTTTATTTTAGTTTTACTTCTACTAAATTTTTGTTATTTTATTCGATAATCAATGGAATAATTATTTGAACCCACTATTAAGCAAAATATTGTACGGATATATCGACATTGTTTTTCTATTGATTTGATTTATTTCAAATATAAATATCTTTAAGTATCATTTATAATTAATCTGAAGTCTGAAAATTATTATAAATTAAATATAAAGTTGTTTGACTGTTTAACTTCAGTCCTGAAGTTAATATAATCTAATTATTCAACAATATTTTTAAATATAAATATAAAATAAATACTTTACTGTTACTGTTTATTAGCAGTTAATTATAATAAGTATTATTTATTTTAAAAACTTAACATGTACAATCTATTCTTTGCATCAAAACTGTAAGTATTTTATGTGATCCACGAATTTGATTACAAAATTACAAAAAGTAATATTATAAAAACAAACTTAAAAATTAAATGCAATTATTTTAGATATAACACGGTTAGGACTGGAAGAGATACACTTCAAAGTTTCTGTAAATGCAAGCAATTAAGAGAGAAAACACGTGCTATTGTCTGAGGGATGAGATCAAAGAGTATGACACAACTATTGGGGTACTATTGGCACATCGATTCTCGTGTCCTATTCTTGTCTCAATAGTGAGACGAAAGTTTGAGCAAACAATTGGTACAAATGTTTTAAAATCAAAGCTCATCCTCACAATGACAACTATAGCATTTATCTTTTCGCTAAGCTCTCACAACATTCCTATAAACTTTGATTATATTATACAACACTATACTTATGTGATAAAACGAGCATTTAATCAATAGGCGACGAATTACCTTAAAGTATTTCGGAGAATGCTATGGAATATAATTTGAAAATTATATCCTTTTCCTGTGTTCGCTATTAATATTATTTTAAGATATTAATTGACAATTAAAAGCATATACTGTATGGGCAGTAAAGTCAGAATGGCCAAAAAATGGCCAAAATTGTGTTAGCATTTATGTACAATATTATAGTGAGTAATACTATTCAGGTATCAAACACAATCATAGCACAAAACCTACGTCTACTTAAATCATGTCTTTTGACTTTCCTGCTGTATAGTTAAACTAGTCCAGACAAACATCAATAAAGAATTTGTGCATGTACATATAACAAACACGTACTAACAACTTTCGATATAATGAATATTTGATACAATGTCCTAAAAACATGTCCACCTCTGCTCGAGAACCATATCAAGATTTCACTGTATATTTATTATGTAAAGCAGTTGAGTACTGGAACTACGATATAAACTACACATTATCTAGATTTAGCATTGTATTCATTGTAATCTATCTAATTCACATGATGTAAAGTACTAAACGAAATATTATATTTTAATTGTGATAATTTGTAAAGAGTTCCGAAAGAAAATGACTAACAGATAGATATTAAATTCAATAGGAATAAGCTATTGAGAGAATAGGGTTTCAATGGCAGTCATGGTTGCGGGTGTTTTAATTGTCATAACTTATTGCTAGTAAATGCTATTTATTTATTGATTAAAAACGATAACTAAATAGTCATTAGTGTTTATTTCTCAGATGAATGCAATAATAATTTGGCGACAAAAATATGAAGTACTATATGTTTTGCTTATAATAAACTCTTCATTAAATCAAAGATCGCTTTCAATTAAACAATTAGATGCATAACATAACCCTTATCTTAGATCCCATGGTTTGAAATCTGTAAATTATATGTGAATTGCGCTTTAAGTCGTGTATTTTATGCAACTATTGGTATATTTATCAATATTACATATGAATTTCTCTGTGCAAGAGAAGCACATCTCTGAATCAATGAATTAAAAGAGATGTGTCTCTCTTGCATAAAGCAATTCATATGTAGTCAATGTATAATTCATCGCTGAGTTCGAATCTGGAATCTAAAATTTTTTATTTCGAATATTTTTCGAGTTATTCGACGTAGAAATGTTTTATATTTAAAATTTTAAAATGACGTAATTTACTAATATGATATATGGGTTTCATGTAGATTTTAACGCTAATTAATATTATCAGATCTGTTTTAAAATTAAATGTATAATTTTCGAACTATTCGACTTTAAAATGTTAAAATTTGAATAACTTTTAAAATATTTGATGTAGAAGATTGGAAATTAAAGATCCAAAATCAGCGCCAGAGTCTACATAGAAATCATATATCATATTAATAAATTACGTAATTTTAAAAATTTTAATAAAAAACATTCTAAGTCGAATAACTCGAAAAATATTCGAAATAAAAAATTTTAAATTCCAGATTCGAATTCAGCAATGAATTCTACATTGACTACATATGAATTGTTTTATACAAGAGAAACAAATTTTTTTAATACGTTTATTTCAATGCTTGTAATGATTCAGAGATGTGCTTCTCTTGCATAGAGGAATTCATATAAAATATTATATACCGCTATTATATAATAATGTAATATTTAATTAAAGGGTAAATTCTGTATGAATCATTTAAATGCAAATAATTTAACAAGTTTTATATCAAATATAATAATTCAAATGTGAGCATTTTTAAATTCTCTATTGTAATAAAAGTATTAATTAAATATTTAAATTAAAATAACAATAAATGTAAATTACATTATGTAATAAAACTGTGTTTAGATATGGTATTATCGGTTGCCTTTTCATTGTCACAATTATGATATAATTGTTGTGATTTACTCGATATTAAAGTCAAATATAAACATAATTTTAATATCAAGTATGACTTGATTTATGCACTAATGTACTAAACAATTCAGTCAATAGTTAGGCAAACATTTTGAAATAAATCAAATATGAGATACAAATTCCAAAAAACAATTATTAGATAAATAGTAAACGTTTATAAACCATATAAACGTATAGCCATTTAAGTACATGGGATTTGGTTTAACATTTGAAATGTGATAACAATTTGGAGAAATCCTATAAATTCTATTACTTTTTCTAACGAATTCTGTTTCAGTAGTTTATAACAGTTGGCAATAAATATAATTTTATTGTATTTATTTGTAATGTTTTTTTATAATTAAGTATAAATTATTGTAATCATATTTATTGTGACTATTTATAAAAGTGCTGAAAACAAATTTCATCGTGATTTAATTATTTTCAAAATAATTGTTTAAATTACACTAAAAATGTCAAAAATCTGGTTTGGATTACTGCTGGCAGTGGGGCTGGTGTTAGTGATGGCGGGATCTGTTATACTCGGAATATTACCTCAAATTATAAAAGACAAAGTTAAAGAGGTAATCTTGGTGACATATTTTTAAATATGAAAATATCATTTTAGAATATGCTTATATTAGTTTAATAACTCCTTTAATTAATTAATGCTTGTAATTGCCATTATATTAGAATCGGAATATTTATATAATAAGTCATATTATAATTATGATATAATTTATAACAATTATTAATTAAATTCATAAAACTATGTGTAGTTTTAACGACATTTAGACAAACATTTTTATAACAGATAAAAAGCGAGGAATCGCTTACCGTTAATGATAGGAGCGTCACATGTCTTGACATTTATTGTTATCTCACATAAAAGCAAAATGATATACATTTGGTTTACTATAGTTAGGAAACAAATTAAAAATACAATATTTCATTAGAATTATACTGTATAATTTTTACCAACTAAGTTTTTATTTTACTTTAAAAATTACCTAAATTTAGAGTTAACATAATTGAAAGTAATGAATAGAATTTACTATAAAATTTCAGCCATAAAATAATTTTCAAAAAATGTAACAATAAAATGATTTTTCAAACAAACTGATAACGTGGTAATATTTATTGTGTTGATAGGAAATACCCTTCAATGATAATACGAGTGAAGCATATGAGAGATGGCAGAAAACACCGGTCCCTCTGTTCATGAAATTCACTTTCTTCGTGTGCAGGAATGCCGACACTTATACCAACTTAAGTGATATTGAATTAGAAGAGAGAGGGCCCTATGTTTACGAAGAGATCAGATTTAAGCAGAATATTACGGTTTATGATGATGAGATATCATACTTGGAGAATAAGACTTATAAGTTTAGACCAGATTTGTCTAAACATGGTTTGAGCGAGGATGACAATGTCACCATCGTCAACTTTCCCATGATGGTAATTACATTAAATTAAAGTTTTGTTATTTATTAATATAAATAATTATACGAATAAAAAATGTATGCGATAACGCATTGAATGTACTAAAACATATCAATTGTAGGGAATTGCATTTAATGATGGATTGGATGCTACATCTTCAATGGCTCGATTGGTCTATTCATCATATCTAAAAGGTTCCCCGAACCTAACTCAAATACCATTATTTTTTAAAGTAAAAGTTTCAGAGATATTATTTACTGGCGTACAATTAGATCTGTTTGAAACAATGATAAAATTATCAGGTGGTTTAATCACTAGCGATCGATATAGTGTTTCCGAAGTGAGAAATATATTTACTTTTATTCAACTCAATATTAAGTCATTGAATTTAAAATATTTTAGGGCTATACATTATTAGAGCCCGAATGGACGGTAAACAACGGTAAATATGATATAGATCAAATCGGACAAATTACACACTTTCAAAATCAAACGTATGAAAATGTTTATAGAATTAGTTAATCTGTAATATTAATAGCACAACATTTATTGTATTTGTTACTAAAAAGGTATTTAACAAATTTGAAAGAACACGACCCAACCACAGACATTTGGATCAACGACCCGTTCGTCCGTCACTGTAATAAACTGAAGGGAACTGACGGACAATTCTTCAAACCTAATCTAGAGAAAGGCGACACTATTTATGCGTTTGAACCGCAACTTTGCAGGTGTTGTACAGTATTAATAATATATTATTAATAGTATTATAAAAACTTAATTTTCCAAAAACCTTTTCTAAAAACTTTGATGTTGACATTTATACAGAATTAAACAACAAAATTTGTTACATATTTATATTTAATGTAAATTTAAAATTATAATTAAAACTTTTAGATCGGTTTACTTTAAGTACTGGAAAGAGAGTGAAGTGCAAGACATAGACACGTATAGGTTTAGAGTACCGCAGGAATACTTTCAGTGTCCACTCGTTAACAAAGATAACACGTGTTATTGCAACCGACCAAATATCACGCTTTGCAATAGGAATGGTATGCTTGATATCTCTCACTGTCAGTACCGATCATTTGGCGCACCCATTATAATGTCGTCTCCCTATTGGAATAACGGCGACCCAACTCTTCGCACACAATTCAAGTCAGAACTAAAGCCACTCAAAGAACTCAATGATGACAACTACGGAACATATCTCGATATTGAACCCGTAATTATATATGCAATACATGTTATTCTCAGTTAATATGATATATTTATACTGAATACACTTAACAGATAACGGGAACCACTTTAAGAGCGTATAGAAGAATGCAAATGAGTATAAGAATCAGTGGAAGGGATGAGGACGAATTCAAATTATACTATCCGTAAGTTATAATGAAATTATAATAATTTGTGATCTGTTGATAAAAATTAAATTCTATAATTTAGACAATTGGCCAAAACAAACAAATCAATTGAATATATTGTCCCCGGGTTTTGGGTCGAAGAGGTAATTATTTATATACTAATTATTAATATAATAAGTGTATTAAAAGTATAATTTTATTAATATAAGACGGCAGAGGCAGACGGTGACCAAGCTGATAAATGGAAATCAATGGTTGGCAATAAAGTCAAACTGGGAAAAGGGCTCTCTATAGCGGCCATAACTGTGGGCGGATTGATGGCTATAATTTCCATCTTTCTAATTTATAAATACCGATAATTACATATATTTATTAGTTATTTTTGAATTAATAGTCATTTTTAGTAATTTCATTATAAAATTGAGATATCATTCCATTGACAATTGCAACTTAAATAATATTTGCTTAAATAAGAGGGTATTCTTTTTATATACTATAATAATATAAAGTTAGTATTAAATTATAACCAATTTAACTTAATTTATACTAAAAATAAAATAAAATGATTTTTTTAACCAAACGTTTGTTATTTTGCGTAAATATAATTAATTAATTATATAATAATTATTCCAAAATTATAACCAGAATTATAAGAATTAAAAACTTTCTATGCTGATAAAATTATATTTAAAAATATTTGCACAACAGATATTTTTATATTAAAATTTTAATCACTTTATAAATATTTTAATAGACATTTCATTTGAAATAATTATTTTTATAACTGAAATACACTAAAAGTACAAAATAAGTAATTTGGACTAATTTAACATTATCATAATAATGATAAACATTAAGCATAATTCTAATATATAATTATATTTACAATTATAGTAAGTGTTTATTTTATTATAATTGTAATATAAAAGATAATGTGATATTTAATATTGATTTACTTAAAAAGGCAATAAAAATTATAAAGTTTCACCAGAATTCTACTCAAAGTAAATATTTTGAATAATTAGCAAAATGTAAAATAATGTCCATAACTTACAAGCAATAAAATCATTTATAATAAAACTTTACATGTTTTATGACTTTCATGTATAAAACAGATATTTCATTAAATAAAACGGAAAATCAATTTTAATTTCAAGGATTTTAAGAAAATTGAGTTCAGTTTTGAGAATATTTTCATCAATTTGTTTCCATATATTTTAATCGCTTTCCTGAAGTACTTTTCGTAGTCTTTGGTCTTTAAGACTATGAAAAGTAATGATTCATTCATTTCTATTGCCAAATGAAGACTAGAAATTAAGAAAAAAGATTTTCAGTCACGCCATCCGCTAATTCTTAAGAAGTCAATGTTGTTTAGCATAACATTAATGCATAAAACACGCAATGAATACACAATAAAAAGCAAATATTTGACAATATTTTTATAGAATTTGCAATATTTTTAAAGACGACCTGAACTTGAAATTCGTGATCAATTTATATGCGAATATAAAAGTTGTATTCAATCTATTTATTACAGACCTTAACATTGGTTTTATAAGTTTATTCTTGAAAATTATTCTTTCGTTAACAATTGAAAACATCAAATATGTGTCGAGTATTGAGTTGTTGTTTTGC